TAATAATTCTTGCCTCTGAGTTACAAACTCAATGAAAGTTAAAGCGATTACATTTTCCAAAAAGTGTGTGATAGAAATCATTTCTGCAGAGTTACTGCATTGTACCAGTTATTCAGTACATTGTGTCTTAATCCTCTGCTGCAAGGAACAAATATGTTACTTTTTAAAACTGTGTTCTTTTAAGAATGATTAACTGGTGTTACAAATTGAATTCTCCTAAACACATGTGTCAAGTGAATAAAATAATTGCTTTCTTTTTTCTCTGGGCTGAGTAATTTTGGATCTATACATTTTAGATGGAATAGATCACTTAGACATGGTGTGTATGACCCAGCCAGTAGCTAGCAAGTGGCTGGCACATTTTTCCCATGCAAAAGGTGTACCATAAGAGGTGTTCTTAGAGTGAAGTGGAGGAGTACTAGCCTCAGCTGGAAAAAGATCGCCTCTCAGCCCAGAAAACAATGAGCTTTGGAGGACTTAGCTGTACATTTAGGGTTAAGACAACTATGGAATAAGGAGAGATGGGTTACTGACACTGAATTTCTGGATTTTCTTTCTTTGCTCTCCAAAAAATAACTTACCTAAACTAATTCTTGAGTATTTTTCCAAGTATCAGTATTCAGCTCTGCATTGTATAATTTAGTCAAAGGCAGATTATGTGCCTAGAAAGCAGAGGAATAGAGTATGATTTGTGACTCTTATGATCCATTATCTATGTTCTTGAACAGCTAGGAAGTAGTTAAAAGTTCTTAATCAAAACCAGGAATTAAGATGAGGTGTAGTATTACTGTCAGAAACAAAATTATCCCTAAATACCACTTTATTCTAGAAGTCTTATCTTCCGGGAACACCAGCTTCAGCAAGAAGTTGGCAACTACACTGTTTGGTTTGCAATAATGAGTTTTATCCAGATTGATTTTGTTTGATTATTTGGTTCTTTGGCTTGTTTGGTGTTTTTGGGGGGAGAGTATAGACACCTACCTAAGATTAAATAAGACATAATTTCATAGCTCTGGAGGAGATATGTTAGCTCTGTACAGACCAGGATTCAAAAATATCTATTATATAGACTAACTCTATATGATGTTCCCTTAAAATATTTCCTGTTCTCTATCCTCCTTTCAGGCACCATTTTCTTCTTGGAGCTTTTGGATTGGAATATGGGTATCTGCAATGTATAATATCTAGTTCTGTTACTTATTGAGTCTATTATTTTCAATTAAATCTTGTCCTAAGCAATGGGGCCTTTGCTGCAGCAGAAAGGTGTGTATGTATTCTCTCATGCCAATATGTACATTAGCCAGAATGTAGTATGTGTATATTTTCAGAATTTATTACTTTCAGATGTCTTCAATTTCAAAAAAGTTATGTTATGAAGTCCTCCAAAACAGGTGTTTCCTATTCCACTTTACAACTTTTCTTTGTTTTAGTAATGTTTAATAATGAAAAACTGCAAATTTTCCTGTATATATGGGGTTTCCTTACACTACCCAAATAGCAGATTAAAGAAGTTTATTTCTAAGGAATTGCAGATGGGGTGTTTTACCTCCTATTTTCTTTTACTTACCATCAAGAAACTTTGAACTTTTAGATGTAGCAGGAACTTGCCCAGACACTATGCTTACAATCTAAAGCACTGATTCTGCATCTGATGTTGAATAGAGAGAACCACAAAAAAGTCATCAATACTTAAATGGGTACTGTACTCTGTGTGCTAGTCCTAAGCTAATTTTGTAATAACTTATTACAATAATTGGTATAAAATATGACTGGATATCTTGGGAAAAGCAAAGTGGATTGAATTGGAGATGTGTTGTTAATCTTTAATTCTTTTTACCAATGATTTACCTAATGTCACTGCTGAGAAAAAGTCTCTCTAGGACTGCACAAGATTTTGATTGTCTAATTTCTAGCAGATTTTCTGTTTCCTTTTGTTTTCATTTTAAACATTTTCTCAGGACTGTTTGGTATAAATCATGAGTTGCTGCTCTGAAGTTCAGATTTATACTTGGGAAATCTTGAGAGAATGTGTTTTACTCCAGTGTTGTTGTAGTGAAGAATTTAGGCCATGCTGATGTCAGACTTGAGTGCTTTTTTTTTTTTTTTTTTTTTTTTTTTTTTTTTTTTTTGAGATTTTGAAGCATAAAATTTTATTTAGAAAAACAAAGAAAATTCCTTTACTTCAAGCTTCCTGAAATAACTAGGGAAAATAAAATTTATCACTTATGACATAGAATAACTCTTCATTACCTCATGCACCCCTCATATTCCTTGGGCAACCAGCCTAATCTGAAGTAATTTTAGCATCACATTTTTTCTACTGAGTTTATCTGGGGTTTTCTACTGAGTTCATCTGTGAAAAAAAAAAAAGGAAAAGAAGGGAATTGCAC